AGCTTACTTACAGCTGGGCCACACTGCCCATCAGGCTGCTTTATGCCTGTAACACTCTGCCTGTTGCCTTCATATTGACCTCCCAGGACCTGCGTCCACATGTGTGGACATCACATTTTTCTCTACGAGGGCCTGATGTCCACTTACGAGGACATCATGCTGCCACTGTTCTATCAAAATCTGAAACAAATGTCCTCACACCTCATTTTTCTCAAAAACAAAAATCAGGTAAAAGAAAATCTGGTGATTCTTTGTTTTTACCTTCTTTAGGTCCCATCAAGCCGAATAGCAAAGAAAACTTAAAAATGCATGAAAGAGTTCAGGTCTCAGGTTAAATCATTTTTGGAATAATTAAAAAAAATATTTCTTCACGTCATCATGCGGCTGCAAGTAGGGGAGACTCGGGCATTAGAGCCTCTTCATGCGCGTTTTGTTTGGTTTCCACCAGCGTGGAATTACCACCAGAGAAAAAGACCGCCGTGTAATCATTTATTTCAACAAAGTAACTGAATACCAGCTTTTTAAACAGTAACTGTAACAGAATACAGTTACTCATATTCTGTATTTTAAATACGTAACGCTGGTACTCTGTTACTCCCCAGCACTGCATGCTGTCTACATCTGTTCTTCACAAGTGCTTCAACGTATCCGTGACTGCACATTTCACATCATGAACCACTTTAAAGCATCGTCACGGGGACCGAAGAAAAAGGGATTCATATTCAACAAAAGACCTTTTGAAAGCGAGTGCCATCAGTCTCAGACCATCTAGCACAGAGTAGCGTTGGCTGACACGTGATGTGCTCAAAGTTGGGCTTCAAACCTGCGTCCCTGTTTGGGCCTCGCCTCTACTCAGAGTCCTTATCTCCTGACCTGCACTGCCCTTTGTGGACCTTCTGCAGTTCTGCTAAATCCACTGGAAAGGTCTGGCAGAAGGCTACAATGTTCCGGATCTTAAAGTTGAGGAAGCGCACGGGAAAGCCAAACTTCTGCAGTTTGCGGACAAACTTCCTGGCTGCCAGGCGCGACTCCTCCACACTTATTAAAAGAAAGAGGAAGCAAGGAGATGATTGGAAACCCGCTGTGCTGCACCACAGTCTGAGGAGATGTGAATCCAGACAAACCTCTTGGTTCCCAGGCAGATGATTTTCCCACTTCGGAAGATGGTCGCTGTTGCTTTTGGCTCCCGGATCCTAGCGATGATCCCTGTGAAATACTGAAAAACAGCGAGAATGAAAACCAGTGCCGGGCTTATGTCTCCACGTAGATCACGTTCAGGTCTCTGCACCTTCGGTCTGTACTGCACGTTCCACATCCTGCGAGCAATGAACTTCAGGTCCAAACAGCAGCCCAGGTCCACTGTGGAGATGACGTTACTGCACGCAAATAAAAACACGAGTCACAGCTGCAAGCCGCAGAGCCGTCATTGGACGGTGCGCTCGTACACAGAAGCAGACTGTGATCTCTGTGATACCATATCACTGGGACGAGATTCGACCACTTCTCCTGCAGTGTCTCGGGGTCCTCCGAGGTTCCGGGTTCAACAGGAAGGGCCTTCAGTGCAGACGAGGAGGACGCACATGTGGGCTTAGCTTCTGCTGAGGACTTCTGGGAGCTGCTGCCTCGTGACTGCGTGCCGGCGATCCCGCTCTCTGCAGTCAGATCCTCCTCCTTACAGATTCTGTCTGAGGCACGAACAAGAGCAGCAGAGCTGAAAGTACCACAAACTGCAGTTCCTCTGACGCCCACTCGAGGCTCCAAAACCAACTGTCACTAAGTGCTAAACAGCAGTTATGGATTAACAGGATATGGATGCAGCTCGGTCACCGCTCAGCGCTCCACCCAGTCATGATCGCAGAGTGCAGAGTGTTGTTGTACCTGCATCGTCACAGGTGACCGTGTTCAGTGTCAGGAGCTCATCAGGCAACAACTTAAAGAACAGCTCCTCCTCGCCGACCTCCTCGCCGACCTCCTCTGTCCTCCTGGGGTCCTGCAGCAAGAAGAGAACCTGCCTATGTGCTAACGTGGTGCTACATGTTTCTGCTCTGTGTGATGTAGAGAAATGAACAAGCTCGATAACTGCAGCTCCAACCTTCACATCCTGAAATCAGCTCAAAAACGGTCTGAATTCCTCTCCAGCGAAACGACTGGTTCAGCGTGGTGTCACGTTAGTTCAACACCCAACTGTTAGTAGTTAGCAGGTTAGCTGGCTCCAGGATATAGTCTGTGCCGACTGGATGAGAGCCTCCACACTAAATATGCAGAGTGCTGAGATTTCATGATTTCTTACTTTTCACATATTTGTCACACAAGTTTCAAATTTTAGTGACAAAGATAAGCTTGGTAAATGCAAAACGATTTTAAATGATTATTTAATGATGATTAATAAATTAACTGTCATCAACCACGTTTGTAAAGCTGAGGTCAGTCTCGCTGCCGCTCCCAGACCTGATCCCCGAGCTGCTGAATCCACACATCACTTAACCACAAGCTGTCTAAAGACGTCAAACTGCAGCACATCATCATCAAAGACACACGTTGGCGTGACCTTAACAGGCTCGTGTCTGGATTCAATCACTTCTGTGAAGACGAGCGGACCAGAGTTTCTCCACTTTTGATTTTCAGCTCTGAAATGCGGCAGTTTGATTTTTAAACCAGCAGCTGAAAAAATGAAAACTCACGTTAGCGATGAACTTATCGAAGTATCGCTCCAACGCAGACTCGTCCATAATGCAGGAGGACGCCTCAGTGATCAAACCCAGTAATAACAGCTGTCAGAGGTTTTGTGTGAAGTTGTTGTTTACATCCAAAAAGATTCAGACAGGAGTCTGTTGCTAGGAGACGAAGATGCTCAAACAGTGAATGATTTTATGTTCTTTCAAAAAATAATTCAAATGAGAATCAAGAGAAAGTGATGAAAACAAATGCTTTGAGCCACGCCCCCTCCAGGTGGGCGGGGGTTGGAGTAAATTCTTAAAGCATGCGTCCCGCTGAAAGCATCCCATCGGAAATGCAAAGCCTGCTTATTTCAGCTCTCTCCTAGAGTGGCTTTGCACCAACCCCAGTTCGTAATAATCCCCCCTCTTATTCTGGGCCTCGGCGTCATCACCACCACTGTTCACCCACTGCCTAAAGAGGGACGCTGCGTTAGCTCCTCCCCCTGAGCCAACACACTCAGAGCAGGTTTCATGCTTCATGCATGCTTCAGGCGGGGTTTCCCATCAGCGAGGCCATATATGGACATCCCCTCTCTATGACATCATACAGACCCAGGAGGGGAACAAACTGTGATAAACTGAGTGTTGAGCAGCCTGAGCGTTGGGCTCAGCGTGAGCAAACTCTGACAGGAAGAGGGGGGCGAGTACTCGAGTATCTCGACCTGCAGAGGCTGTTTGTTTAAATCGGGGATGATTACAGCAAACATGCAGCCTCCTTCCTGCCCGCTCTTATCTCCTCACACCCTCCCACTCCACCTTTCCTTCATTCCTTCTCTTTGTCAGTTATTTCTTCACTTTTTGTTCCTCCCTCAGATTCAGTCTGTGTGCTGTTTCCTTTATTGTTTCCTTCTCCTTCATTTCCTTTTATCCTCATTCAGGTTTTATTTATTTTCTCCCTTCTTTGTACCTCCATCCACCCTTACAGTTTTCCTCTTGTCCCTCTTTCCTTTCTTTTGTGGGGTTTGATGCCTTCATACTCCACGTTCTTATTCCTTTTCTACTTATTCATTTTCTTCATTTCCTCGTGACCTTCCTTATTTCCTTCTTTAACTGAGTTTGGATTTCCCCCACACTTCCCCCCCGCTTGTCCTTGCTCATCTCTTTCCTCCTTTAATCCCTTTTCCTCCTTTCTTCAATCCTTCCTCTTTCCCTTTTTACTTGCATCCCATCATTTGTGGCTTAACTGCTCCCTTTTCTTTCCTTCTCTTCCTTCCTTCTTTTTGACTCCTTTCTGTCCTTGCCCATACATTTTGTCTCACTTCTTTGTTTCCTTCACTTCATGCCCTCCCCCCCCCTCACGTCTGTTATTCCATTTCATTCTTTCTTTTTGTCCTTCCTTCCTTTCCATTCGTCCTTCCATCCATCCTTGTTTCTTCTCCCTCATTCCTTTAATCTCCCTTCTTTGCATTTTGGGATTTCTTCCCTTTGATAACTTCTCCCATGTTTTGTTTTGCTTTCCCCTTCATCTTCTTCCTTTAATTTACTCCCCGCTGTGGTCTCAGTTCCTCCGTCCTTCATCCTTCGGTCCTCCTTTATCCCCTCCTCCTCCTCTCTGTCCCTCCTCCAGCTGAAGTAAACAGATGAACCGGGAGATACTGAATCTCTCCCTGGGCCCCTCTTCCTCACTCCTCCCAGTTAATTGGGCTCTGGCTGTCTGAGTGGCAGTCGCAGCAGTATTGAGGCCCGGCCGTGCTCCAGATGTGCGCAGAGTTGACCGCAGTGAAATGTGAGCCGCTCCGGCCTGGCTGCCTGTATTTTGGGATGTTTTACACGGGGCAGGACAAAGACACGTTTCCAGGCGGGATCCCGGCCTGAGCAGATGTTCCTCTGCTGGGAGCAGAAGAGGAAGAAGGAGAGGAAGAGGAGGACGCAGGACCCGCGCGCAGCAGAGCGAGGACAGAGACGGTAGAGTTTGCGCGAACATCGGCCTGTTTGGGCAGCGTTTGCTGACAGGAAGTCGGCGTTAATCACTCCCGCCGGTGCTTCCTGCTCGCGCCGCTGATCAGCCACGTGTGGTCGCGCGCGGCGCCGTGTTTGACGCACGCGAGCGCACGTTCGCCGCTCACAGAGTTACCGGGAAACTTCGCATAACTCCTCAAGTCCAAGTAATTACTAAAGAAGGCAGCGAGGGGTCGCAGCAATGGTTAGCCCTCAGGTTTCCTTGGCAACGTTAACAGCAACCAAGATTAGCAAAGCAGGACTACAAGCTGACAAGTTGTAGTCCTGTAAGGCGCTAACAGCCAGCTAGGCTGAGACCACCGAGAGTAAACTTGACTGAAAGTCTCCAGATTAGATGAAAAATCACCGGAAACGTTTCTTATTTCTAAACAGACTTTAAATTACGACTTTAAACTAGATTTTAAACTTTAAAACTAGACTTTAAACTAGACTTTAAATGAGCCTGTTTAGAAATTAGACTTTAAATGAGCCTGTTTAGAAATTAGACTTTAAATTAGCCTGTTTAGAAATTAGACTTTAAATTAGCCTATTTTACACATACAGTGGTACCATTGGTTGCCACGACAACATGGCTGGCTCTCCATTGGCTAGTTTTCCACTGTGCTAGCTAACAGCATGAACAAAGCATTACAAACAAGCTGAACCAAATTTCCCCTTGTGGGACAATGAAATGATTATTCTAATGTTAGCTAATATCATCTGACTGCCATGCAGTGTGACTGTTACCACCACTTACCAGCTAACCAACTAACTGGTTTGACCCGTAAGATACCGTCTACCAAAGTAACAAGCAGCATTACTAATTAAACAGCTAATTTATAAGATGAAACCTGCTAATTCAGCTTAGAACTCCACATTCTGGATATTGTAATTCTGCAATAACTAATTAATGAAAACGAGTTTCTTAACACTAGTTCACCAGCTAACACCAAAGTAGAGTTATGAGATCGACAGACCACGTGACTTTCGCGCGTTGCATTGTGGGTACGAGTGGCAACTAAATCAAAACACCGCATCCAGCATTTCCAGCACCGGTAACCATTAATTCTGCGGTTTTAATCCCCACTTGCATTTTATTTGCCCCAAAAACAGTTCTGTACAAAACGACGGAGAACTCGGCAGCTCCGCACGAAGACAGACGTGACGAAGAGGCAAAAAAAAGTACGAGGAAGAAATCAAAGGAGTGAAAGGGTCAGACCCACACGAGCATACAGAGTGGAGTAAGCACGTCAGCGTGCTGCACAACTTTCATCACGCACATATTTATTATTATATGGTCCTAAGCGTGAGTGCACACACTCACAACATGTTTAGTAGAGGTGGGAATCACCATACATCCCACGATACGATATTATCAC